CAGGTCTACAAACCACTCACCTCTAGGCAGATTTTCTCAAGAATAGCATAAGGCATATCCTACCCTGGGCCAACTGCCCTGCCAGGCTTGAGTTCCATCTCCAAAGTGAAAAGGGAAAAAAAAACACTATAAAATGGTTTAACATGGAGAGAAAAAGAGATAGAAAAAGCTTACTTTTTTGTTAATACTCTCAACAATGGATGAGCTAGTTGGGCTGAATCTTGTGCAGAAAGTTTTCAGCTGATGACACGATGGCTGGATTAGGGTTAATAGGTAGAAAATGGTTCATGTGTGGGAAAGCTACAAGCAATTAACACAGCCTTAAAATGGAAACAGTGAGGGAACAACCACGGCTACAAACTCTCCCTATGATTTTAAATTGGCTCCCTTCCTCTGCCTTCTAGGAGAAGTTATACCTGCTAGCTTACTCCTCATTTGGGGAAGTAAGAAGAACGAACTTCAGATAGCAGTTGTCCTGTTAGATACCACCTTTCACAACACTACTCTGAAAGCCATCTGCATAATACTTTCCAGCATGCTCTAGCGGGGATTTATGTCCTCGTCCTGCACACACTAGCATAATCCCAGGGGGCTCCTACCACCATGACAGATAACATAAAAGCTATGGCCAAGTTTAAGTTGTCTACAGCAAAAGTAAACTCTGCTTTTCGAAAAACCTTGCGAGCAAATGGTCACAACACTGCTCTGCTACAGACCTGCAATCTTACTCTTGCACATGTTTATTGGGGTCCCAGTGCCTTCTCTTTCACCCTTGGCCACCAAATCTTAGCAGAGACCAAGAAAGTGATACTCCCACCAATGAGTTATAACACAACATGCTGAATCCTCCAGGGAAAATCTCCTCCCTAAAAGTTCAGAATAATAATTCTGCCTCAGGCAGATATGAATTCATAGGGTAATGGCAGGCATCACCAAGAGAGTCTAGACAGCCTCTTGACATCCCAGAACAGAGCCGGGGTGTGGTGGCTTAAGCCTGCTCACAAATACTGTGGCAGGCTGCACACTCCCGTCAGAAGCTCACAAAAACAGTCATTTCCTACTAGGCACCATTTGAAACAGACCAGCTCTATCCAGGCTGATCCTGAACCTCACCTTGAACTTTGGAATTAATCTAATAGACTAGCACCTAAATTGCACTTCTCTAACATGCGAGAGCAGCATGCGCTAAGTAGTGAATATGGAAAGATTGTCTCACTTTTGTCCAGGTCATAAAAATGGAAAACAGAACATATGATTCCAGGGTTCCTAGCGAGACTCCCTCAGTGCTCATACCCCAAGTGAACAAGCAGCACAAAGCATAACCTTGTTAGACTCCCAGTGAAATAAAGCAGTCTGAGATTCATCCTCAAGTTCAGCGCTGTATACATGCATTATAGTAACTACTTACACTATTACAATTGCTGCTGTTCAAGTACGTAAAAAGCTCCTAAAAATCAAGAGTGTCACAACAAAACTCACAAGGTAGCTACCTACTAGTACTTGTGCTGGGGATGTAAAAGGATTTTTGTTGTTAAATTTGTAAATTAAGGTGATTATTTGAACCAGTACCTTCAATCTTTGCTGAAATGTGTAACTTGAAAAAGGTTAAAAATACTCAAGGCAGGAAGGCCTGAGAGCTCTGGGGAGGTCTGGAGGTGGGGTCAGAGCAGGGAAATACTTGTCTATGGCAAAACCTTCTTCAGTCTTTTATAAAAAGACTTGTACGTGTGCACACCGCACTTCACAAGTTTGGAAATACAATATATTTAGTATGTGCTGCATTAAATTTCTACGTAGCAGAAACATTACATTGTTGAAAACAATGTTCCTACTCATCTTATGTCTGTAATCTGAAAGCAACCGTCTGGCAGAGGTTTTTCTTATTTTTCCATAAAAATCTTAATTTCTTAAAAAGCCATGGTGTATACCATTTCTTATGGAATTGGCAATGCAGTTGGGAGCAAAGAACAACCATATTTAGTATCAGTATAAATAGGAGTTTTAATATTTTGAAGACTTTAAAGCCTATTTCAAATTAAAAGTACTTTCTGAGCAAGAGTAGATTAATACCCACGACAGCCGTGTAAGGTAGATGATATTAGCAGCCTTTTACACATGGGAAAACCAGAGCTGGAATGGTTAGCTGCCTTACCCTTGGCCACGGGAGTCACGAAACCAGGATTAAGATGGGAGTTTCCAATTTCCAGCTCTATGCTACAAGCTAATTCACTCATATTTTTACATGCACTTTTAAGAGTACACATAATTCCAAGCATTAAACAGATGAGGTAACACAGTAACCACAAAACTGTATCTGTCTCAACAAGAACATTCAAGTGCATTTTGTAAACAATCTCCCCACACCACCGTACGGAGGCGGCACCAACACCAGCTCGCACCTTCCAAGCGCCTGCAGTTCAAGGATGCTGCACTGGGCCAGAGTCTTGCTGCTACGACAGACGGCAGATATTAAGGTCACTAGGAACTCCAAAATTAAGCTAGTGGGTCACGGCCAAGGGGTGAGGGAGGTGCAGCACTTTCCCAAGGTTCATCCGCTGCGAGCCCTTCACACCTTGCTACAACGTGAAAATTGGAGACCACGAGCAGGGAATTCGCGAGGCGAAAGCTACCCCCGGAGCCCTGCCCGGGCACCTCCTTCCGCCAGGAGCCGCGTGGAGGCGCCG